TAAAACACAGAAAAACCCACAATATATAACTGCAGGTGCACAAAGATCAACAATAACTGCACTCACAGAAAAGGCACACTGCTAACAGCAGAGGTCATCTATCCACCTGATCCAAGGGCCTAGGGGAATAGCCAGGACTTCTATGCCTTGCAAAAGGTTTAGAGTTAGGGCCACACAAATCTCTGGGGGGATGCTGTTTCACAGGGCAGACGCTGCCACTAAGAAGGGACAACTCTGGGGTCCAACAAGATGCCATTGTTTAATAGAAGGGCCATGAAGCATGCCTTCTCTACTAGGTCAGGTGGGCTGAGCAGAAACAATGGGAAAAAGTAGCCTAGCCCTATGCTATGTAGGGCTTTATAGCTGATTTGCACTCGGACACTTCCTGGGAGCTCATGAAACAGCTATACTAGCTCCCCAGGAAGTGTTATATGGGCGTACAGGTAGCCCTTGTTTAATAACTGCCTCGTACAGTGACTGTTTGCAGTGATGACAGTGATGAAAAAGTAACTTTGGGACCAATCTTCACATTTACGTCCTTTACAGGTCTGTAAGGCAAAGAAAAGCTGAAGTAAGATCATAAGCATAGTTGTGGGTTCACTTAGTGACTGCTTTGCTTAACAATCGAGTTGCCGGTCCCAATTGTGGTACTAAACAAGGACTGTGTGTGATGAGAAACACCAAAAACTGCCCACACTGCTGAATTCTAGACCAGCTACAGTTCCGAGTTCTCTTCAAGGGCAACCCCATGAAGAGCGCATTACTGTAATCCAAATGGGACTAAGGCATGAGTCACCATGAGCAAGATCCCCTCATCCAGGAATGGGCACAATTGCTCAAAAGATGACCCTATGCAAAAGCCCCTCTGGTAATGGCTGCCATCTGCTCTTTGAGCAGGAGCCAAGAGTGCAGGAGGACTCCCAAATTGCACACCAACACTGACTGGGAAAGTGCACCCCTATGCAGAGTGACAGATGAAAAATCCATGGAGCCAGGGGCCCTTAAAACCAAAGGCCACTAAGCCTTGCCAGGGTTGAGCCAAAGCCTATTCTCCCCCATCCAGATGGTCACAGCCACCAGACACTGGGAAAGGACCTTGACAACATCACTTAGTTGGCCCAGAGTGGAGATGCACAACTAGGCATCAGCAAACACAGTCTTAGATTCCCTTGCAAAGAGGTTTCCCCCTTGCCGAGCAACTTTTTCCTATATAACCCAGTAATTAATCTTCATGGAATCCTAAGGTTCTGTGGAACCTTGTTTAAAAAATCCTGATCTATTTATTCATTTGAATCCACACAACTTCCAAGCCATGTAATAGAACTTAGGTCTAAATAATTAAAGTAAGTGAATTCCAGCAAGGTATACCCACAAACCTGAGTTATTTTTATTACCTTACATATACATACATACCTAGCCATTGTACTAGTCAACATTATGCAGAGTGCAGAATAGGAGTACAAAATGGTAAGTTTAAAAAAATTAAAGCACATGGTAAGAAGAAAAGGAAACATTGCACCAACACCATTCACTATACCTCTTTTTCTTTTCTTACAAACTATCTTTGTTTTCACCATATCCATAACCTGCTTCATCCTTTAATTAATTAAACTTCACGTATATCTTTTTCAAGATCTCATCAACTCCTTTTAACCACAACTTTTTCAGTCTTCCCCTTCCTCAGTCCATTCACTCTTCCTTCATATACTTGTTTTGCAATTTGATCTTAATTCAGATCTCTTTATGTCCTCCTTTCATACTAGTCACTCCCTTTTGTATTCAATATACATTCTTTTGACACACATTCTCAACTAAATTTCTTCCTGCTTTATTTTTTTCTTATTTCTTAAGTATCCTATTTTCAAGTAATTTTGTAATTCTAACATTCTGAACTCTCAAAGTGTGCAAAATCATACTTGTACACAGCTATTTTTGCAACTTTCTGCAAATATTCATTCCATATAACAGACCACATGTTGCCCATTACCTATCAATATTTTCACATCTAAAAATATGCCCAATTTTCCAGATTCAGTAAATGTTCTTCTAAGGTACATAATTTATGCACTCTTTTTTTACTATCTATGTAAAAATACATAGATAGTAAATCAATCTATCTCTATCTTGGAATTGTTCATTTTCCCTGTCAAATAAAACTACTCTTACATTTGATGTATTATTTTCAAATCTCTGATCCTCACTGCATCATACAGTCTATCTAACAATTGCTGCAGGTCATTCAGGTTCTCAGCAAACTACAGCATAATCTGAAACAAGAGTACACATATATTCAACTCCAATCAACATTCCTCTAATGTCACCACAGGCATTCCTTTCATCCTTCGAATGAAAAGCAATGCCCCCAATGTTTTACATCACCAACAGATAACAGTGCTGATGCTCTAGAAGCTCTGATGTATTCTAGCACGTGTTCAGTTGAGGGAAGCTGCTGCGAGAAAAGGTTGTACAGTACAGTACAGTATTGCTGCTGTTCATGAAACGGAAGCCTTCACCAAGTTCTCATCAGTGCACTTTAAGCAATGCATTGTGATTAAATTTTTGACTGATGAAGGAGTCTCTCCAACTGAAATTCACTACAGAATGCAGGTTGTTTATGATGTTGGCTATGTTGATGTATTATGCAGTGCTGGACCAAAAAATGTAAAGATGGTGAACTTGGAATAGCTGATCTGTGCAATCAAGAATTAAGTGGATGACTGACAGCAACCGTTGAGTTTCACATGAGAAAGGTTTATGAGTGGATTAAGGACAATTGGCTGATCACACAAAGGGAAATTGCTGTCAAGCTTGGCATTTCACAGGAATGTGTGGGCCACTCTTATCACATTCAGCAACATTTCAACTTCCTCTTTCACAAGGCAGTCCATAATGTATGTTTTCATATGCTTTTTCTAAATCAACATACAATTAATATTCTCTCATACGTACTTTTTTCAACAATATACTAACAAGCAAAATCTGGACTGTCCATGTCCTGCCCGGCATAAAGCCGCACTGCCCTTCTCAGACTTTTCTCATGATCTCTTGTACCCTTTCAGTCAGAATGCTGCGAAATGCCTCAATCACAGTTAACAAACCTTGTGCATGAATTGTTAACACATTTTGTTTGTATGGGGGAGTAGAAATGGCATTCTTCCAATTGGCAGGCACAGATTCAGCCTTCTCACACACATTAAACAAGTTACATAGCCTCTCCCAAAGTAAGCCACATCCATATTACACTATCTATACCTGCAGTCTTACCATTTTTCAACATTCTCACAATACTTATGATTTCCTTTTTATCTTTTTTTTTTCTTGGACAACTAACATTTATAATCTTATTTCAATTCTACTAAGAGATATCGCTAGAACTGTGATGCAGATCTCTCCAGCAATGCTTCTAGCATTCCCTGACTTCAGTTTCATCCCCAATCATTTCACCACTCTAATGAGGATTCATTTAATCCTCTTCACCTACTTCCAAAATATTTATTTCTATGGATATGCTCTGCATTTTCTCTGCCTCTTTTAATCTTAACTTTTCCTTGCTTTCTTTGACATTCTTTGCAACTATCTTGTTCTATGTACACATTTTACAATAGCTGTCTCTCATCCTTCTCTGCAGTAATCACACTCTCAAATGCATTTTTCCCCATCCATAGCCTTTTCCTCTCCGTTATTTCACCATTTCATTCTTTCCATTAGAGTAACTTTGTAACTTTTCTGCACTCTGTAACATTCTTTTCACTCTGATCCAAGCAACTACCCCATCCTCTTTCCTTAAGGTCATTTTTCATTCATTCTGTTGGGAGTTGAATTCATTTTCATATACCTTTTCACACTTTTACATTTCTACCATGTCCATTTTTCCTAAGATCTCTCTTGAGACTACCAAAAAACCATTACAGATTGAGAACCTTTTATCATTAAAAACATGTGGAGGACAGAAAATGTGCTCTCTGTGAGTTCTACGGCTCCATTGCCAGGCAGTTTTTGGACAAAAGGAGATCCATAACTGTTTCCCTGCTCTGGAAATGGAATGTTGCATTCACCTTCTGGAGCACTGCACCTTTGGATTCTATCCGAAGCAGACCAGATTCCAATCACAGCAAACAATATTGTGCATGCACATTTCACTCCATACATAGGTTGTCCAAAAGCTATCATACTGTCTGTGGAGTGGTCTGCACATCCCCATTCGTCATTCTTATGTCCTTCACTAATTCTCTGTTTTCATCATAAATTAATGCTTTTATATTTATATGTATTCTTTTGCCATGTGTACTTCTGCTTAAATCTCATATTAACAACAAAGAGATATTGTCTAAACAGTAACCCATTCTTGTGTCTCCAAATAGTCTATAACTTTTCCTGTATTCCCTTGTTCACACCCATTCACTCATGATACCTAGAAGAATTTTTCTTCCTCTGGATCCCATTTATTCAGAGTATTATATAATTTCCCCAAAATTCATATTTGATTCTTCCATTCAGTGAATCCAGTGATAACCATTCACTGCAGTGAAACATGCAACTTTCACTTTCTTACTTTCACACTGAACCTCACTAACAATTTAATGATACCAATTCAAACTTTCTGATACAGAGCTTAGCCTTTTTAAGAGGGACGTCCTATGATCAGATTGCTGGAGACTGTGGCAGGAAACCCATGGTCCTCCGGATATTATTGAATTGGAATTCCCATTATCTATTACTATTGCACCTAATATTCTGTTGAATCTAACAGCAACTAGAATGCCACATTTTCTAGACACAATAAATCTAAGTTTTTGTTTTTGAATTACAGTATTGCAAACTTTTAATATGTTTTATTTATTATCTTGATGTCTTTTGATGGCTTTTGAGAACATCATGATGTACAAATGACATTTATTTGTATGTTTCTGTTATGGATTTCATATTTGAAAAAAAATTCAAAATAATATTTCTGAATAAGGTTTATAGATTATAATTAATTTGATCTGGGATATTTTCAAATGCACAATTCACTTACAGAGAAATAATAAAAATGTCTTTGCATATCAATTCTAAATTTAATACTTTTTCAAAAGTTATAGCAAAAACCAAATTTAAGAATATTTTATTCAAACTGAAGTGCTTTTAAGGATTTAGTAATTTTCACATTCATACACATATTTTACAACCTTTGTTTCTTATTACACATTTCCTTACAAAAATGTTGATCAATTCAAGTTAAAATGAAATTATTATAATATTAATAAAACCAAGATTATATATGGCCAGGAATATTCCACCTTAATGTTACATATTAAATAGAGTCCTGATGATTTTGTTTTCTCCAAATAGCCTTCACGTACATGACAATCTTTGAAGTAGAAAGCGCAGGAGATATTGTTTTGAAAAGCTACTGAAATGTGTACATTTTAAATAACAAGCCTACTTTAAATGCTTTTCTAGTAAAAGCTGAGGTTCAAAACTTGAAATGAACCCAAGAGAATTCTTGCTACATAATAAATCAGTAATATATTTACATAAAAGTTAACCTACATATTCTGTAAACATTAGAGCATGATTTAGCAAATAATTATTGGCTTTGGTAGTTGTGGTGGAAATTTGAGGAACTGTTTCCACACATTGCCATCCATCTGAAGAAAGAAAGGCTGACTGGTAAATCCTAATAGAGTGTTTTCCAACCTCAGCAACTTTAAGGTGTGTGGATTTCAACTCCCAGAATTCCCCAGCCAGCATGACCATTGCTAAGAATTCTAGGAGTTGAAGTTCACATGCTTCCAAGCTGATGAGATTGGGAAACTGTCTTAGTGCAACTTGTGCACCTCATGTTACCTTTATGGTAAAAGCTTTCACGTACACTTCAGCAGACGTGACAATTATGTCTGTTTACATTTGAGAGCACAGGGCTATTCTCTTCTCCTTCAAGCTTCCCTTACCATCAGGACCACATATATGGCTTCTTGGGCTACTGTCATCTCCTAGTTCTAACAGGATGATACAATTAGCTTTTTATAGTTTTAAAAATTAGAATACATAAATGTCACTATTGCACCTTAATAGCAATAAAAAAGGACAGGGATTTGTTCAAAGTGGTGACTGAATAAAGCAAATACAATTTTAATACTCCCAGTTTTATTTTCTAAATCTAATTTATAGGCATTAAATTATATAGTTCCTTCTCTTTTTTCCAAATAGGGAACATGCTACATTGATTAAGCTTCATTTTGCTGTTTTAGAATTCAAGAGAATGGGATTCCCAAGCTTTACGTATTACTTAAACACTAACTTGGCAGGGGCATCAAAGTGTGACAATCACATTTTTCTGTTTCTTGTCTTATCCCCATGTTTCAGAATTTGGATGATCTGTAGTTAGTAGACAATAATGAATGTACGATGCTTATTTGAGCAGAACCCTGAGACAAGTAAATACGTTGAAAATAAAATAATCAATGTTTTAATAATACCAGTTACCAGAGAAGAATCTTTTCTTTAAAATGTTAACTGAGTAACAAACTGAAGGAGTCAAGAACACTTGTCCTTTAATATGAACGATTCAAACTTACCAGTATGTATTTATGTATGTGTGTGTATATATACACACACAAACACACACATACAATATGTGTGTGTGTATGCATATACATACACATATACATACACACACAACCAGGGATTTAACTGCACCTTGTGTCTATGATTAATTTAATTATCCTAGGAAAAAAATTCTGGTAAATGCTCAGTCAATTTTATAAAAATTTATAAAAAAGCTAATTTCTGGTGTCAAGTTCAAATAAAACCAGACCAAGTCAATGTATGACTTTCATTGCGTAGCCCTATTAGATATTAGGTGATCTTGTATTATCTGTCATTAGCCCTGCACACAATTATCATTGTTCCCTATCCAGAGGCAAATCTGAGCATATTTGAGGGGTGTAATTCGAACTGCAACATTGTAATCCTGCTGTTCTCCATTAACATCCACCCACTGATGACCAGAATAAATGGCAATAATTTTGCGTTTCCATTTCTTCTTATTTGGTTCTTTAAGGCGGAGGTAGATTCCTGAACCAGTAGAACCAGGCTCAGCATCACAATACTGGTAGAAGAGATCATTGGATTCATCAGATATGCTGCAAAAGCGATAAACCAGCTGGCCAGCTCGGTCTGCATCATATCCAGAAAAGTGGATCATACTTCCAGGAATCATCTTGCTATTTGGACTGATGCCAAGATCCATGTATTTCTTCTTGTGGGGACGCTTGAGTTCCAAAACTGCATAGTCATAATCAACTGCAACATCTCCTGTCACATCTCTTATCCAGCCTTTGGGGATTTGAGTACTTTTAACTCTGGTCCACTGGAAGGAGGGCTTGCGCTCTGACTTCCTCTCCTTCAACACAGATGTCTTTTGTTTTCTGCCAGCTCTACTGCCAGATCCCCTTTTCTGGAGTTTGGAGTCATCCTCATCGTCCTTGACTTCTGGCACCTCCCTCTTACTCCTCTTGGCTCCCCTGCGTCTCTTGCCACTGCCTTTGGATTTCAGCTTCAGCAGCCCCACTCTCAGTTTTTTGCTGCCTTTAATGTAATCCTTACCATCATGCACACAATGGGCAGCAGTGAGTACATGCTTTGGAGAAATGAGGATGCCACTGCAGCCTGTGGAGATCTTCACAGCTGTGTTAAAAGGGAAGTTGGTCAGAAATCGAGTGTCTGAAATGCTGAATCTGCTGTCTGTACCGTAGACCTGTCTCTTCCTTCTTGGTAGCACCTTAGTGGTAGTGTTTACAGGTGAGTCAGGCTCCACCCCCAGGATCCCCACTTCTGTCAGAGTCCTCGTGCCGTTCTCAAAGACTGTCTCATAGGAAAGCAGATCCTTCAGATCAGACCAACGTGGCACTGGCAATGTCCTTTGGCATTCAATCCCACATACGCCACTCAGTTCTAGTTTGGCACTGGCTTCAAATTTAGGAGTGCCGAGGAAGAAAGTCTTTTCCTTCACAATCCGTGGTATTTTTTCTAACTGCCAGCTAAAATCTTGTAGATTTATTCCATTTGTGAGGCTGAAGGCAAAAGTGGAAATTAGCAGAACTAAGGCCATCATGCTGCTTTGTTTCTGTTTTGAAAAAACAAAGTATGAGAAAAATATTATTTTAATTACCATACATTTACAGAAGCTTCTATAAAGTCTTGTAATAAATGTGTGCCACAGCAAGGATATTAAAAATAGCCCTATAAAGACAATAAATGTAATAAAATAATATATTCATATAACTATCAGCAACTTTTTTTTTCATTTTTAGCTTTTTGAGGTTTTATTCTGCATCTAACTGTATGGATATCTAAGCATAGCACTCATGTGGCTAGCAAAGCCAGAAATATTTATTTATTTATTTATTTATAATCCCTCCCCCCAGTCTTATATGGTGCTCTAGACATTATATTATGTAGGGTTAGAAATAAATTAGTATTTTTTAGAGTTACATCCTTGCTTTTCTCCAGGAGTTCAAGGTGTCTTACATGGGGCTCTCACTTCATCTTGTACTCAGAACTATAATCCTGCGAGGTAGGTCGGGTTGCGAAAGAGTGCCTGGCCCAAAGTCACCCATCAAGGTTACTTTACTGAGTGTGGACTGAAATCAGAGTCTCCCCAATCTTAATCCAAGACTTTAATCACTCTACAACACAGCATATTCCAACTCTTGTATTCCATATTCATAAATACTAAACTGAACTAACTTAAAAAATAATTGAGTCTGAGGGAAAACCGTCACAGCTGAGGCCTTTCAAAAATTTACTTGTTAAGTCTTTATTTTTCATTGATGGTTGCAGTAGTTCTCATAACCAAATTTGTTATATTTAAACATATTTAACATAAAGATGGAACAAAACAGGATTGATCCAGAAGTGAAGTACCTTTCTCAAGAACCTTTGATGAATTTCCATGTTGACTCAGAAATTGAACCCAGACCTTTAGAATACTAGTAAACCATGTAAAAGAAACACACTAAGGCCCCTTTCACATGGCTCCCAGTTTCATCCCTCCAACTCCCAAAAGTATTTTTCTGCTGCTGGCTGGAGCATCTTCACATTTTTCTACTTAAGCCATCCAGTGCGCTCCCAAGTTGGCCAATGAGGCAGCACTAAAAGCAACATCTATCCTCTGCTGTGCTTTCTACCTTGAAAAGCAGCCACTGCCAAAGCCATATTTAGAGGAGAAAAAACTGGCAGAATAGCAACTAAGCACCATGGGACCTTCGCTTCAGGAGGAAAGGGGAAATCCCAAGAGCAAGGACAGGATGGGAAGAACCATCTGCCCTGCAGTTACATGGCAAATACAGCTGATCTGTCTCTGCTGCATATTTTCTGGAGCAAGAGCAGAGTCAGTTAACTTCCAAAGTTAACCTCTGCATGTAAATATGACCAAAAGCAATTAAAGGATATGCTTATTTCGAATTAGCGCAGCCCTTGCATATGAAGGCTTTAAAATTGTTTCCTATTCTTTGGCTGCAACTTTTCTGAAAACGGAGATTGCCTTCCTCTCCCACTTCATATATCTTGCAATACAGAAACTTTACACACGTGTAAATTAAAATGCTTCAAATTATATCACCAAAGTGAAGTATTTAAGGACATGCACCTGGATGGATGTTGTAGTTAGTGTTAAAAAAAATGCAGATCTGTAGAAAAATAATGTTCCCATTATATGACAACATTCAAAAAGGGTTGAAGTCTACATTACGGTGAAGAAAAATAATGTCAGTGTTAAAAACTACTGAAGAAATGCACTTGAGCATGGGCTTAAGTCCTAAAGTAAGAAAAATATAATTATTCCATTAAACTGATATATAAGATATATGAGAATGGCATGTAAAGATGCAACAAAGAGCAGATTATCACTCTTTTGATATATTTCCGGAATAAGAAGTCTTGGGCTCAGAGAAGTAACCTTTTGTTGGTCTCTATGCAATTCATAGAATCCCATGGAGCCCCAACCACCATTCCAGATTGTCCAGCTTATTAGCCTTCAGTTACATAGTGAGGAATGAAGTGGTGTGATTTTAATGGAGCTTTACCCTTCATAGCAATCCAAGTTCAGCCCAATTGCCATTTCTTCACTACTAACTGGGAGAACCTTGTTCTCTTCCCTGATTCTCTTCCTAGTAAGGACCTCCGCTGATTGCTAAGTGAGGAAGGTGCACGCTGGGCAGGGAGAAGTTAGTGCATGATGACAGAGAATATTTCAGGGATCAGTGCATGTATAACTTGAAGCCTGGCCATCCACTACAGTTTTGCTTACCTGTGCAACTCCTAAAAAATTCCTTAATTACCAGCGCATCCTTTCCTTCCATCCCAGTCTCAAGTTATTGTTCTACTGAATTGTGAATTAGGGTCCCTGTAACTTTAATATATACCTGTCTTTATTCAAGAGTGATGCATGTAGCAGAACAAGTGTCTGCTGGTGGACCTGTTGTAAAAATGGCACAGCAAATCAGCTGTGAGGTAGAAAAAGTTCCACCCTGCTATCTAAGGAGAAATAATTATCTCAGACTTCTTTTTTCAATATTGTGAGTAAAGCAAAGCAGAAGGTTCACCCCATTGCTTTCTCCATTCCTATTTGGGTATCCCACTGTAATCTACTTCTGACTTAATGATATTTAGGGCCAAAGAGAGAAGATGTGGGAATCTGACAGCCCCTTCCCTTTCCTCTTGTCCTGTTTCAGTAAAGAAGATCACTGTATATGGAGGACAAAAAAGAAATCACATGTGATAATTATTGTAAATACCATATGTATGAACAGATATTTAATAGGAAAAAGAAGTGGGGGGGGGTGCAGCTCACAAGCCCCCTTCTAAGTCTTTTTTTCCAAATCTGTGGTCCAGCTGAGCCATGATCAAAATGCTAAGCATGAACTGACTCCATCTACTTTAAGCACACAACTTTATCTTGTGAAAGGCATGTCAGGTTAAACATTTTATCTGACATGTCAATGGATACTGCATTATTTAGTCTGAGCAATTCATTAAGCATGGACATAACCTAGTCAGATGGCAATCCCCAGAATTCTGGGAGTTGTATTTTGAATACCTCTGGAGGGCACTAGGTTGAGATGATCTGCTATAGGTTGCCATGGTTGTATATTCAAAAGCAGCAGCAGAAGCAGGTTCAATATTATTTCCCTCCATTTTGATGAATGCTCAAACCAGCAGCAGGCATATTACATTTCTAGTCCTTTTCAACCTGCTGTTTCAGTAAGAGAGATCCTTTTTTAAAACTGGATGGTATTAATAGCATCTCTTGCCTCAGATGGTTTATATAAAAAACAGCTTGAATGTTGCAGTGCTCTGAAACTAGCCCTAACACAACCGCAAGGACCACACCAGCTTCTTGTATTGCATTTTGGTTTGTTAAATATATGCTTCTTACTGCAGCAAATTCAGGAAGGCAACTTGTAATTAGCTGCGGGCACATCTGATGTAATGGAGGATAGTGCCACAGTGTGACTGTGGCTATCTCAATCACAGCAGAGAAGTAAACCCTGCTTGACTCCTCCTCTGGCCACCATATTCTCCTTTACCTCAAAAATGGAGGAGAGAACATCAGTAAGCAGCCAATTCCCTGTCCTCTGTCTCTCATTCACTCCCTTCTCCCAATAGTGAAATAAAACCTGAGGTATCTTCTCCTTGGTCTTCTGCCTCATTTCCATATATACTTTTGTAGATACACAGTATTGTGAGAATTCCTTGGCTTCCAGCAAGGGAGCTTCTTGTAGGTGACAACAAGGCTGCAGCACCCACCACTCTTCATCTGCGGCTCAAATCAAGCAGCCCCCAATATTGCACCTCTGGACACTTTCCTTCTGTTCCTTTAGTAAAGGGAAGCACTAACATCATCACTGTTGTTTTCAAGATTGCCTCTAGGCCTTACAGAAATTCCTTGAAAATAATAATGGTGGGAACTGAAGCCCATTGTTTTATTTCAAAGTGTGATCATTTACCAGAAAAAAGACAAAGCCTGGAGGGAAGTGACAGAGAACATCTTAGGGGACTAGAAGGAGTGGTGCAGAGAATCTTCACCAGTTTGTTTTATGGCATATATGTTAATGACTGGCAATTCCCATCTTTGCAAGCATGTTCTAAACTCACAAAATCCTCTATGACAGTCACAACATAGCTCCAATGTTTAAATGTGCCCATCAGCCAAGGTGATGATGAGGTTGCTGCTGCTCTACTCCTTAAAAAGACCTAAAAAGATAGTTTAGCTAACTATATTCTGCTGTGAGTGTGTGGTTTCTTTCATTGTACAAGATGGGGAGTAGATCAGATGGAAAAATAATGCCTTTGGTGGTGTAAGCAAAATTACGGACATAAACTTGGTTGTGTCCTATGAGAAATGGTTCCTCTAAACTAACTCAGAGACTGATACTTTGCTAGTGCTGATTGTACTAATATCCTATGGACGAGTTTATAGAGACTTTTCTCATTTCTGTCAAGTCTAACCATCGTTTGGAAAAAGTACAAGTCATTTTTATTTAAACTAGATTTAGGGAAGATTAAATCTAAGAGCAGGTTGCTTAAATTTAAGCTACTGAACTGTATCTTTTATATATTGCTTTTCCATCTATTTTTAATTGTTTTGCACCCCAACTTGAAGACTGCATGGATGATGAACTACAGTAAAATAAATAATAAAGTTTCCCTTCATTTTAACTTTCCTTTCACCTTAAACTCAAATATGCTTGTGAAATAACCACTAGAGGGCAGAAAACTTATTTCAAAAGCACCTAATGCAGCATTATAAAAAATGTGTTTCAATAATTCAGACTCCGCTCTTTGAATATGCTATTGTTGTTATATGGTGTGAATCAGCCATGGCTCCCTGGTAGCACATATGTTTTAAATGCTCCCATATCTCCTAGTTATCTTCTGAGAGCAAGGCTAAGAAAACCCCTTACCTCTGAATTTGAAGATTGGTGGTGCTGTAGTGGGTTGAGCTGTTGGCTGTGCTGTAGCAGGTTTGATAAAAGTGCCTTGCCACTCAACCGACTTACAGCACAACCAACACAAGCTATGAAAAGGATAACATTACCATACATCAAAAATATCTCAGAAACAACCAAG